AGGCAGGTACACCGTGAGTCTAGCACTGCGTAACGCTCCTTTGGGGCAGAGACAGACAGGAGCACTGAGAGCACTATTTCTCACTGCATATGAATCACTCGACGTAAAGAGGTGGCTCTTAAATTTTTCAGTATTGATCTGACAGTAGGAGGCATTTTCACAGCTCTTAAAAATTACTATCAAAGTTTATGCTAAAGGAGGATAAGGGAGGAAAAAGAAAAAAAGTTCCAGAAATTTCTGGTTTGACATATTTGTAAGTTAATATTTGAAAAAATTAAAAATCCACACAGGAAATAAATGTCATAAGCATGTCCAAACAGGCGAATGCACTTTAATATGAAGTACTGTTACATTAATAGCAATTCCATTCAAAGTGTCTCTTGGGACACTGCAGAAAAATGGGGAAATTCTTCATTGAGATTACCCTACTTTTATCTTTGCAATGAAATACCACGATGCAAAAGAAAGGAAGGGGCAAGGAAGGAATGACAAAAGCTTAGACTACCTGAATAAGACAAACCTGCAACCTGAAATACAGCTTACACTCCAGATCATTCATTCTTGCTATGAATGAGACTATCAAAGGCTAAGATTGTCAAAGATAATCACAGAGAATGTTTTAAGGCAATTAAGTAATCATAGGGTGTGAGATAATTTTCTGAATCAGAAACTAAATGTTAGTTTGAGCATTCAGCTTTTCAAAGAATAAAAGACCGACTGCGCCTTGCCTGAGGCTGAGCCAATTTAAAAAAGAGAAAGACAAGGAGATAGCCAAGAAGGTGCAATTATTTTGTCAAAATTAAAGCTGGAAATGACCTTCAAAATGTTTCAGAGTCTGATTAGTTGAATAGCTGCTATCAACATATAGAATATTCCAACTTGACAACTATCAGATAACGAGTGAAATTCCTAGAAAGAGTACTGGGCAGCCTATACCTATTGCTAGGGTCTAAATTAAGTGTAATCTCTCAGGAAGACAGAAGGGCATCACTGAAGAATTCATTGACAGTCTTCTCAATATAAGTCACTTGGCAAGAATATATTAAGGTTGATACTAAATGGATGGGAAACAGAAACAAGATTATTCGCAGTAAAGAAATTTTTACCTAGAGTACTATTTGTGCTTACCCACAGCTGCTAGAGGCAGGTACACCGTGAGTCTAGCACTGCGTAACGCTCCTTTGGGGCAGAGACAGACAGGAGCACTGAGAGCACTATTTCTCACTGCATATGAATCACTCGACGTAAAGAGGTGGCTCTTAAATTTTTCAGTATTGATCTGACAGTAGGAGGCATTTTCACAGCTCTTAAAAATTACTATCAAAGTTTATGCTAAAGGAGGATAAGGGAGGAAAAAGAAAAAAAGTTCCAGAAATTTCTGGTTTGACATATTTGTAAGTTAATATTTGAAAAAATTAAAAATCCACACAGGAAATAAATGTCATAAGCATGTCCAAACAGGCGAATGCACTTTAATATGAAGTACTGTTACATTAATAGCAATTCCATTCAAAGTGTCTCTTGGGACACTGCAGAAAAATGGGGAAATTCTTCATTGAGATTACCCTACTTTTATCTTTGCAATGAAATACCACGATGCAAAAGAAAGGAAGGGGCAAGGAAGGAATGACAAAAGCTTAGACTACCTGAATAAGACAAACCTGCAACCTGAAATACAGCTTACACTCCAGATCATTCATTCTTGCTATGAATGAGACTATCAAAGGCTAAGATTGTCAAAGATAATCACAGAGAATGTTTTAAGGCAATTAAGTAATCATAGGGTGTGAGATAATTTTCTGAATCAGAAACTAAATGTTAGTTTGAGCATTCAGCTTTTCAAAGAATAAAAGACCGACTGCGCCTTGCCTGAGGCTGAGCCAATTTAAAAAAGAGAAAGACAAGGAGATAGCCAAGAAGGTGCAATTATTTTGTCAAAATTAAAGCTGGAAATGACCTTCAAAATGTTTCAGAGTCTGATTAGTTGAATAGCTGCTATCAACATATAGAATATTCCAACTTGACAACTATCAGATAACGAGTGAAATTCCTAGAAAGAGTACTGGGCAGCCTATACCTATTGCTAGGGTCTAAATTAAGTGTAATCTCTCAGGAAGACAGAAGGGCATCACTGAAGAATTCATTGACAGTCTTCTCAATATAAGTCACTTGGCAAGAATATATTAAGGTTGATACTAAATGGATGGGAAACAGAAACAAGATTATTCGCAGTAAAGAAATTTTTACCTAGAGTACTATTTGTGCTTACCAGTCCAACTGAAAAAATTTTTTTTTTTTTAAATGAAAAGTGGTCCAGAGGTCAGAGACATGAACAATTAGAGTTAATGGAAGACCTCTGCAAAAGGTAGAGAGGAAAGATGACTAACAGGCAACACACTAAAAGATTATAAATGACATAAAGAAGTAGTTTAGATCGTGTTGTCTTTTTCTAAAACAGAAAAAGAAAAGAATCATTACAAAATACAACATCCTGTTTCTTCTGTGAGAATTTTCAAGTATCTAGTAGATGGAAACCACTACTAACACCATTTAAAACTTCATATTTAAGTGTGTAAGTCAGTGAGTGATTTGTTCTTTCCCTACAGAAAGGGAAGCTGAATAACCCACTCATTACAGAGTCCAGTATCTTCTCCAAGATCAGTCAAAACCAGTTGCTCTCTATGGGACAGTCATTACTTTATGCTACACTGCAGCCCTCCCCTATTTATGTGGGCAGAGTGTGTGTGCAGGAGGCAGACCTCACACCCTTCCCCATTTCTTCTCCTTCTACAAGCTTATGAAAAGGAAAGAGATGATTATTTTCCCAGGTGACAACAACAGTTTATACGCTGCCTTTCCCTTTTTAAACTTTTGTTTACATGGTTTCATTAGGGGAGGGACAGATGAGAGACAAGAGCAGACTCCACACCTTCACACAAGGGTACTGCTGAATGCAGCGGTCATTGTCAGCTCAGTGTCTTAGGCAATGCACACGACAAGAAAATTATACTGCCCTCCTGAAGAATTAATGGCTATTGGAGGCAGAAATTACTTGTACTTACGGAATTTGATGTTCTAGACTTTAAAAAATAAGAAGAAATTATTTTTTTTTATTGCAAACATATGTAAAATGTCTGTGCAAGTGTGGCTGGAGAGGTGAAGGATGGAATGAAGTTTTAATCTTTTGTTTCAGTCAACACAGGTTAGAACATGCTTCTCTTCCCCCACCCCTCAACAGAATGTGTTTCTTGTTAATCCCCTGAAATAACTGGAAGAGTTGAGGCTGGTGAATTCTTTATGAATTCTGTAGTTAAGCTTCTGTAACCTTACTGTATGATTTGCTGACAGAAACATGTTGCAAAAGCAAAAAGCATACCCTAGAGACTTCCGAAAGAAAAGCAATTCATTTTACAAAGAATGCCCTGTAATTTCATAACTCTGCTAGGAAATTCACAAATACACAAGCTCATCTAAGACTCCTTCAATTTGGGAGAGTTGGGAGTGAGAAGTTAGTTATATGAGTGTTTAATTCTACAGTCTTCCATATAAAATGGCAATTCTTACTCTTGGCCATATTCTGCCCGCTCTGAACATTTTTTAGGCATTCTTCCATCATTATTCAATGAAAGAACACTATCATAAATAATGTTCTCTCAGCTGCTCAGATTTCCCACTTGTGCTGACATGTCTTAACATGTCAGCACAAGTCATTTAGCAGCTGAATAATCAAGATGGACTTTCAAGATGAAGAGAAGGAAAAAGGAAAAGACCAATTAGAGAGAATAGAGGTGGTTTTAGTAAGTGCAGTACCTGGCAGGCCAGAGAACAGCAGGGCTACACAGAAATACACAGCATAAGGAAGGATGCACCACCACAAAGAAAGAGTTTTTGCACAAGGCTATTTTTTTGAATGCACAAATGAAAAAGCCAGCCAGATCACAAAACCATCGGAGTCCTCAAGATTGTTCTCCACACTTGTAGTACCTGTTTTCTTTGGTAACCACTCAGTCCTGCTGCTTTGGCACACCTTATGGAGCATCAAACATACCTAATCCTGGCCGAGTAGGAACTGGCGAGCAGTCACAACAGACTTCTCCTCTGGTGAACCTTCACTGCTTAATCAAGTCCCATCTTCAGAGGCGTTAACAGTCGCTCTTCAATCCAAGCAACAAGCTAAAACATTTTCCAAACACCTGTTCCACTGTTACCACTCCTGATCTCTGATCCTTGTAATCAGCTATGTAATCCTGGGCCTGTCAGGTATACGCACACTGCATTTGCCTGTTGGATATTTGACTCCTTGCAAAAGAGGATTCTTTTTTCCAAATCATTATCCTACTATCACCATTATCTGAACCAAGTACTCCTCCACTCACATGCTTTGCCAGATCAGATGATACTAGTTTAGTTTAATTTCAAGTACACATAACATTCCTTTAACAGCTCGACATGGATACCTTTCAGTACACGTGTGCATTTCTGCTCTGCACAACTTTGTCGGAAGTAGCCAGTGTGCTGGGCTGTGCAGTGAGGAAGATGTTCTGTGATGGTCCCTTGTAAGGACACTACCTTGATAATCCAACACAATAGAGAAAGCACACACAATTTCACAATTAATTCCTTAACGTAAAAACAGGATTCTCTTACTGTGACAGCTTTATGTGAATTGCAGCTAGGAAACCCCTGCAATTTTCTAGCTGTAATATCCAGCAATATGCAGAAACAGCCAGACAGCCATTATTAACAGTTGGAGAATTACCTCCCAGGCCTCAGGCAAGGACAAGCAAACTAAGTCTTTGCCGAGAGGGAAGCTCCAGAATTAGAAGAAACACAGGAAAAACAAGGTCTCAAAAAGATAGCAGAAAAGGGAGAATGGATTCACACTGGACTATCTCTAGGCTATAATGGTCCAATTGCCTCTAAAATCCAAGCAGCTATGGACTACTGCACAAGCACTTGGTACGAAAACATTAAAAAGCAAACCGCGTTCTGATGGATACCTGCTTCTCCCCGAAGGGCCTTCTCCACAGCAACCCCTCTCTCCTCCAGTTGCCTCTGCTTCTCTTCCACTTGTTCAAGCTGCCGCTGGATGATCTGTTCAGATAAGAACGGAGCAGAACCTCACCAACAGCAGTTCTCCTGTCTGCAGCACTCATCCAGCATTAAGTGACTTCAGAAATGATTATTTGTATTCACCAATGCACTGCTTCCAAAGCTGGCATCACAGTCCCTCCAGTAACATCTTCCCCACCCCATTGTGTCCCCTCTCTTGATTTTGCAAACACCTCGATACTCACTTATTTGCTACAACTCCAATCACCTTCCTAAAGGTGAAAGGAAAGGTGATGCTATTCACTCAGCTAAGCCCCTACCTCAAGTTTTAAACAAAACCCATCACCTATAGATGATGCCAGCAGTTTTCCAACAGATTCTCTGGTAATTAAAGGTTAATTTGGTAACACTTCACCCAGCAGCATAATCTAGCAAAGCAATGGTAGGCACAGCATCAGGTATTATCTGACTATCACTGTACCATTTAGTGTATGATGCTTCACTCATCTCCAGCTAGAAAGGTGTTATAGTCATTCTTTTTCTCTGTGAAACTATCAATATAGGTTTCCCTCATTCTTCCCACACCTGTGACATGACAGCAAATTCAGAAGAGGGAGAAGGAGCAGGGACAATCATGTAGAAATAGAGGAAAGTTCTGTCTCTGAATCCTCTTCTGACACCCTCAGGGGAATGTCAGGATCATGGTGCTTTCAACTGTCCACCATGACAAGATGATCACGAGACACTACCTGAGCTCTGTGTAACCTCTTTAGCTCTTCTTGCTTGGCTTGTCTACGGGCAGCTTTCTGTACTCGCCGCGTCAGCTTGGCATTCAGTTCCTCCTCTGTGTAGGCTCTCTGAAGGAAGGAAAAAACAGGAGCAGTTTTTATTTGCGTGCTCAGAGGTACGGCGGGAAGGACGACCATTTTCTTTTCCAAAATCTCAGAGAAGGGAAGTGTTCTGTCTTTGCCGTGGCTGTGTCAAAAGTCAAGCTTCTGTCGGCAAAGGTGTTCACAGTGCAGTGAGCAACAATTTCAGAGTCAAATCAGGAGTGAAGAAGCATATAAGCCAACTGCAAAGCTGTGATTGTATATCATGTCCCACCCTGCCTTCCACTGCTGTATGAAACCTCTCCCCAAAGATTCATATCAATTTTTATTCTATTTCTCAATAGATTTGGACAAATGGATTTAGTTAAATCAAGGAGTACCATGTAGAGGAGTCACCTTGATTTAATTTTAAAAGAGGGCAAAGGCAGATCTACACGAACAGTTCCAGCAGTATAAGCTAAGAAATTATTATAGACTAGTGTTGTTGTATTGTTACTCCCCTCTCCCTATTTTATTCTTCAGCATGAACATCCATAACTGCAAGTTATACTGGTATAACTGGTAGTAACTACTTGTGTAAATTTGTGCAACTTTCTATGAATCAAAGTGGCAGAAAGACATTTAAAAGCAAAATTACATTCTGGAGCGAGATGGGAAATCCCATCTCAAGAGCAATCCCACAGAACTGGCTGGTGTAAAACAGAGCAAACAATCTCTAAACTAAAACTAGACTATGACAACACCAGAAGCCATCCAAAAGGAAAAATATCATGTTTATAGAAACAGCAAGGTATTTCCTTCTCTTCTTTTCTCTCAGTGAAACTAGTTTGAGAATAAGTAAGTCTTTTTAACATTACTGAAATGGGGTTTAGTATCTTATCAACCAACTTAACTAGTTGGTTGTCTTGTAGTTTAGGAGGGCTTCCTCTCAGATGTTTTAAGAGTGCCACAGAAACTTCACAACTGCATTAAGCAAACCACACTGAAGAAAAGAACTCTCTTCCCACATACGTGTATGTAGGCGTTAAGGGACAGCTGTAAACAGATGTCTTCTGCTTCTGCAAAGAGATCTTCTCCATGGACAGTCAACTTAAAGAACAAAACGTTAAGACAGACCACCCTGAAATTTGCTTTATCTAGTTATTGTACTGCCACATTGGCCAGTCTACCTCTGGTTTATCGTTCTTGGTGAATAGAGTTTGAGGCAGGATCACAGCTCTACTAAAAATCCCTCAGACAGGTGGTTAGCCAGCACCATTGTTAAAGCTCCAAGAAGTTAACACTTTACTCTTCCTTTCTTTCTTAAAGCCACAAAATCCACAAGTATAGCCGAATCAGAGGGTAAAGTGATAGAGGGTGTGACTTTCCTGTCCCATGTAAAACTCTTGTGACTGTGAAGACAGGACAATAAGAATTTCAGAAAGTAGCAGTGTTCCTGAAATAGAAATACAACTTCTGTCTTGATTTTAGCTTGATACAGGGGTCCACTAAGATTTCAGTGAAACTTTGAAAGATGCTGATTCAGGTTGACTATTCACTTGAATTCATATTTTAAGTATTAAGAAAAGAATACACATACATATTCAATTTACTTGAAAACCAATTTGTTCTGAAGCTCAAAGATCATCCCCATCACTCTGTACAGTGGTGCACTGTTGTGCACTGCTAATTGCATGCATTCTAACGAGACAGACAATTCAGAGCTTAAATGCATTTTTGGTTGTCAACCTCAACAGAGAATTTGCTGCCGCTGTCTGCTAACGTCTCACGCATGCACAGTCAATGTTGGTGATGTTAGTGCACATGTGATGGGTAGCTATGGATTCAATGGGTTAATATAGGGACATGCAATGCAACAATGGCCAACTAGTGGGAATGGAGACACTACCTTTGACGAATATGATCTCTTGAATGCCAAGGCGTGTGGTACATAAATCGACTTTAAAGGGGGAATGGTAAAGGGAAAAAAAAAATAAAAAAAATAAAAAAAACATACAAAATGAAGCAAAATCAGTTCAACATTGAAAACAGATGCACAGTAATAAAACAAAGCTGTTTTTAAATGAAACACAAAATTGTGCAAATGCTGAACGTGACCCAGACTGATGAAGCACAATGGAACTTCTGTCCTCAAAATCAAGTTTCTAGCACTCTCCGGAAGGCAATTAGCTTTGGCAGCCTCTTTGAAGATGCAGTCAACTTGAAAGTAACATTTTCTGGAGGAATTATCTGGCCTTTATATACCTATGGTTTTAATGTCCATTGACCAAGCACATATACATCCAAATACAAAATTTTGGCTTAGGATTTCGAATAATAGCTTGTGCTGGGTCATGTTTGGTCTGAACTAGCTCAGCCAACTATATCTTACTCTGTCACACAACTCTCCATTTACAATCTGATCTACAACCTCTCCTAGGAGTTGTGTTTATCCCATTGTTTTAAATTATCTCTACTTCACAGAAATGATCACTTGCATTTAAGCAGCACCATAAATCTTCCCCACTGCTTTGTGACAGGAGGAACACCAGATGGGCTCAAAGCGAGTTGTGTGTCCTACAGTAATGAATCTCCCTGTCTAAGAAGAGAGTCTCCAGAGAGCCTGAGGAGCTAAAATGAGGAGCAAGAGGGAGACAGGAGGGGAGGAGGAGGAAAAGGAGGAGAAGAGCAGGAGAAAATCACTACCTTTTCTATCCAAGGACATTCTACGTTACCCCCTACCCAAAAATAAGGCAAGTAAACTACCTAGGGATTATAAGAGAAATACTTTTCCCTTGTATATGAAGTACAGAGGGCATTGTGTCATTCTGGGAGAACAGCCAGCATTTTGCATTTTCACATTTAATTAACTAAAAACAGTCACAAACAAAAAGCCATAGAACAACTTCAGCATGTATGCTAATTTCAGTAAAAAGCAAGCTACCTGCGGTATTAAAACGTATGTCTGCTCACAGTACCACAATTGCAGGGGAACAACGAGGAACACACAATGACACACACCTACAAACACGAGACCCACCAGGCATTTACATTAGGAATTCTTTACAAGATGCTTCTCTTGAAAGACACGACATTTAACAACACTGAATTAATTCATTGCTGATCACAAAGAACAGGCTAAACAGAGCAAGCTGTCTGGGAAGCAAACTCACTACGATTACCAAAAAAGCAGCACAAGCAGAATTTCAGTTTAGAGAAGGGGTTCACATAAAAGTTCTGTGGCACGCAGGACGTCAACTCTTACCCACAGTAAGTAGCAGGCGGTTTGTAACAAAAAAACCCCACACCACCACCCCATCCCAAATCAGTACAAACCCAGTTTTGCCAGTCTCAAAGTCCTTTTGACAGCAAGGCATTCCAGGGTTTACATGTACGTTCTACATCCTTGGACAGGATGCAATAAAACTAGGTAAGTGGAGTTCTCAGATTCATTTCCCCTAAATCAATTCTTTCTCAAAACTATTCTTTAGAAAACAGGCAGATGCTGAGCAAAGAAATTCTTAATGTAACTTCAGCAACAGCAAATGGGAGAAAATGAGACACCACCACTGTACCCTTGGCAGAGCTGGTGAGATATTTTCAATATTAGGATTCCAGGCACCTGCCACTGTCACCTGTCCCCTACAATGCTTAGTGATGAGATCTTTTTTTCTGCAAAAGCCATTTTAAATTAAAGCAGGCCAGCAGAGAAAAAAACCCACCATCAAGGCATACTGCAATCTAAAACCAAGCATGGACCTTACTGAAGCCCTGCTTCCTCCTGAAGGAGGTTACGGGGCAGAACAGTAACTCGGTAACTCTTATCTGAACCCCCTGTATCGCACGTCTGTCCCCTGCTAGCCACAGGTACCTCATTCTTCTGCATCTCTTGGAAAATGCAGGATTTCCCATGAAACGCCTTGAGGGCATGCAAGGAGGAATGGAAGGGGGAGAGAAACAAGGGAATAAAAAACAAAATAATTTTCCTCTTAGAAGAGATCGAGATCAACTAGGGAGAGAGATTAAGAGAGAGGTCAGTAAATACAGAAAACTCCTACTTACTTCATCAACTCCTTCCACCAGCCTTAAATTCATTAGTTACTCTAATTCACTCCACTATATACCCACAGAAAGCATTTCCTACAACACTTCAATCTGCAGTACTTCCATACCTCTGCCACGTGAGCCAAGTATCAAGTAAATCCTGCCGTTTGAGACTGATCTGTGCACACATTTGAAAGAGGAGGCAAAGACCACTGTGTCTGTGAAACTCTCCTCTCGGATGATGTCTCCTTCCTGAAGTTTTTTAACACATGAAGCAAGCACCACCAGGAAGGGACGGGGGGAACACATTTTTTCATTCTTCAGTACCAAAATGGCCTTAGTGTTCTGTGGGGTCAATGAAATCTTTACTTATTCCTCTAAACCTTGCCAACTATATCTAGCAGAGCTTAGAAGCTCTCAGGAATTCAAGAAGGGACTGTTCCCCATTACTATGATTTATCAGTTCCTTACATTTTTCACTTACTTTTGCATTAATAGTCCCACCTAAAAATTGAAAGAAATAATTTAAAAGCAACTAACTCTGGCACTTGGCTCTCACCATGTATTTTCCATGTATAAATATGTGCAAATAAACTAAATGTATTTTTCTCTCTGGGCTTTTACAGAAACCCACTGATGTCTCCTCTTTCCTCCTAAATAACTTCCTTAAAGCACCATTTAAAGTGAAACTATTTTGGCTGGAAAGCCAAAATGATATGCCTTACAATATGACGTTATTGCACTAGCTAGGGGAAGGTTGGTCAGGAACAGGAAACAGCTCTCTCAGAAGAAGTTGAGTTCATACCAGAACACACTGGAACGAGAACACCAGGTATATACTGGCATTTCATAGGGTCTCACTGTTATAGATTATATATTGAGGGTCTCAATATTATATATAACAGCTTCACAACTTATCTACACGAACAGACATAGGGAAATACTCAGCAACTACCAAGGAGTCCTCAAAGAAAACAGGTCAAAATTGAAGGAACAGCTGAGAGTGTATCTCCCAAAAGAGAAGGTACTAATTCAGACTGTAGACATTCTCTTCTCCCAGGAAAAATAAGCAAACCTGCATGAGTTGCAAAACTGCAGCTTGTAGCTTACCTCTTGGTTGATGATCTGTCTTGACTATGTTCTTGATGTACGCAAAAGTACATTCCTATCTGTAGTTTGCTTGGAATTCTACCACTTCAATCTACCAAAGAGGCTGGTAAAACAATATCCTAAAACCAGACCCTTAAAAAAAGTGACAACTATCTCACTGTTATCTTTTTGCAATAGCATTAGAGACAGTGAAATTTAACTCTTTTGACATTTAACGCCTGTTTCCTGTAGATCATTGGCACGACCACATCAAGGCCAAAATTCACTATTCTGACTGTGATAATAATTGTAAAGTAATGTCACAGTGAGACAACAGATCCTTCATGTAACAACAGCGGGGAGTAGCTTGCAATTGTGAAACCAAGTGAAACCAACTCATTTCAGGCAGAATAGTCAGGCAACTTACAGGAAAGCCTCTTCCACGGAAGAAACACTAAGAACAACAAAATTAATCATCTGATTTTCCGATATGGTTCTCTGTGACTGTGATCTGCATGATGCTAGATCCATCTAAATCGCATTTCCCATCTGCCTACCTCTCGCTTGGATTTCTGTGAGGAACGTTCCAGAATATCGTCACTGGAGAGGTCAGAGTCCTCTGAGAAACTCAGGTGTTGGCGGAGCTGCAAATCTGAGAAGCCGGGAATAAAATGGGGAAGTTAGAGAAGTGGTAACTATTCTTTCTGTAAATATTTCAGAACTCAGTTGATAAGTTGTTTGATTGAGCTTCAAAAATACTTAGTCCCTTTATGCCAGCCTTGGTTGCTTCACCTAGGATTACAGAATGATCAGAGAAACCCTGCTCCACAAAATGATCAATGTTAGTTAGCAGCTTCATTTTAAGAGTGCATCACTTTCTGCAAATGCTGTTAAAAATAATGACTGTGATTCTCCCTTTGTACCATAATTCTGTATCAATGTAATTCTGTATCAATGCTCTTACAACAGAGCACTTGTATGACAGCAGCTGGCACGATTCTGGCTATTTATACAAGGCCAGAGAAACGTAACATGTTTGTTTGCTTCCAATCACATTTATGGCTAACTTATTTACTACATCCCAAATTGCCGTTAAACATCTCCACCTGCACCTCATGGAACGTGAGAGATTTACGTGAGGCCTCAGAATGCCCATTTCACAGATCAGCAGACAGCTGCCAGATCGCTGAAAACACAGGAGTAACTACATCTCTGCAGTCTTCAGCATCCATAGAGAACAGACCACCCGAGGAAAAGATGAGGATCAGATTTAAAATAGAGATGAAATGTCACAAACAACTGATTCCAACTCTACTTTCAAGGATACCTAGCTGAAGGAAAAAATACAGGATGCAGAAGCCCGTATCTGTCATACCTGCAGCTGTTATCAACGGAGAAGCTTTGTGCTTGCCAGAATCCACAGTGGCACTACTTGAGGGAGTACTTGGGCAGGATTTGTCATCGGTCTTTTTCTTCTTGTCTTTCTTATACCCAGAGAAAACAGACTTCCATAATGACCTAGGCTTTGTTGCTTCCTCTGTCCCACCACTAGATTTGTCAGAAAGCCTGCTGTCATTTTTGGATTTCTTCTCCTTTTTGTTCTTACGAGGGGAGAAAAGAGAAGTTCTTTTCTTACTCTTCCCACTGGAGCCTTCTGAAGAGGTGACAGACCCTTCAGGTCCAGCCACATCAGCAGGAGGAGTGGAAAACTTCTCACTAGCAGCATCATGCTTTCGTGTGGAGGCCTCTGCTATTTTCAAGGCCAGATGCTTTGGAGATTCATAAAACAACTCTTTGGTCTTCAAGGGCATAGAAGACGCCTTTCGTGCTCTTGTGGCCCCAGTAGCAGCTGCAGCCATCTCCATGTCTTTCATCTTACACAACTGTTTAGCCATGGCATCACGCAGCGCTTGGCTCTTGACAGACTTCTCCCTGGCTCTCATTCTTTCTTCAGCAAGCTCCTTGGCCTCCACAGAAATTTCAGGCAACGCTCTCTTCTTTTGGTTAACTCCTTCCATTGAGGGTGGACCACCATTTTCTTTCACCAAGGGCAAAAGAAGTGGTTTCTCTGGCCTTGGCCTACTGGTAGGAGGTGTAAAGAACTTCTCATGAAGGCTTGAGTCCTCTGTCCTGTCATCATATGTATCCTCTACATCATCAGCAAATGGAATCTCATCCACACTCTCTGCAAAAGATTTCCGCACATCATCTTTTTTGGCCTGGGTTGACTCTTTGGCAGCAGAGGTTGGCTCACGGCGTGGGGGAGCAGGAGGTGTTGATGCTGGTGTTGGAGGTGACCTGGCTTCAACCTCATTCTGCCAGACAGCTTGATGCCTCTTTCTGCGCAAAGTGGCTGGTTCTTCATCCTGAGGAGGTGGTGGTGGAGGACTTGATGGAGGAGTAAGCATGGTAGAGTCAGAAGTGTTGAAGCTTTGGCTAGCCATAGTTCTCATGTTAGATGAGCTCTCCTGAAGGCCAAGTCCAGAACTGCTGGATACATCTCTCCTTTCTTCACTGGAACTCTTTAGCTCTTTTTCTGATGGAGATTTTGGAGTGAGCAGAGAAATCTGCTCATTTTCTAACTTGGACAGTCCCTGTCTTCTTGGGGCAGGCTGGGGTTTCACAAGCTGGATCCTTTCATCCCCTGAAATATTCTCAGTATTAAAAGTCTTCAGAGGAGTTGTCTCAAGGGCAGATACAGTAAAGCTTGTCTCTGAGCGTCTGTTTCTGTCTACTGGGGTGAGTCCTAAGCTCCTCCGGATTTCAGCACTCTTCATCCAGAACTCCTCTACAAGGTTACTCCGTTTCAGGGCTTCTTCTGCAGTAGTAGGGCTCCCCAGTTTTTCCACCTCGCCATCCTGGCCCCTAAGGACAAGTTTGGCTAAAGGAGTAGACGTTAAGGCTGGGACAGGTTGGAAACATACTGGAGGCTCCACCGGGGATGGAATGGATGTTTCGGCAGAAGGCAAAGGCTGAGAACAGATAGGCATTTGAGCAGATGTTGGGGATGAAGCCAGTGTTGGTCCTGCTGGCTGAGACTCTGCTAGTGACGTAGGTGCAATGGCTTCTGGTGATGCAACTGGCTGGGATAACACCGGAGATGGTGGCACCAAAGGGCTCTTAACTTTCCTGTCTTTGGGAATTTCATCCTTTGGTCCTTCTTCACGAATGAAAGGCTCAGGAAAAAAGCGTCCCTCTGGAGATTTTATTGCACGGAATACTTCTTTTACATCCTACAGAAAATGAAAACATGAAATATTAATAGTCACTGGGCACATTAGAATACTGTTCTAATTTTTTTTGCATTTAACAAAGTTAGCAATAAGGAGACCATCCAAGTACCAACTATGAAAAGAACCCCACACGTGGCATCCCATTCACAGGTCTGGAACATCACTTACAATTTCTCATCAGGTGTGGTTCATTTTTTCTGTCCCCATTGTATAAATCATCCTCTGTATATGATAACAAGGCTAATTTAGTTTTTGGAAGAAAAAACACTAAGCTAAATTCCAGAAACCTGGTTTTATCTTTTCCTGCTCTCTCTTCAAATCTCCAACTCTGTGTACTGTGGTGGTCCCTCACCTCAGAACAATTTGCTGCAAATCTCTCCAGCTCCCATCAATATAGCACTTTCTGGTGGCCAGTGTCTGCTGCAATGTTTTCTTAAAGCAAGGGGTGCTTTCTCTGTTAAGAGTAAATTAGGCTCCAATTCCCTTGCCCCCTAATGGTCTGAGAAGTCTTGTTCTTCACCTGCTACATCCAGACTGCTGTATTACCAAGTAGCACAATTTGTTTTACAATTTAACCCTTTGGCAGTGGACACCTCTTATTGAATGGTGGTATTATTCTTTCCAAATATTATATTATTCCGAATAATATATTCTTTGCACTGGCTTTCTTTTGAAAGTAGACAGTTTGGCTTAACTGACACATGACCATTAGAGCACAAGTCTCTCCATCTGTGTGCTTGTATGATGTATATATTAGACACCCAGGTCTTGAGTACTGCAATTTAGGCACTGTCCTGGTATAAACAATGTCTGCCAGAATCATTAAATGGTCCTGAAAAAAACCACACCCTCAATTTCAACAGAAAGTGAACGTTGTCAGCAACCGCTGTCAGCAAACCAGCCTTATCCCATGACAGGTCCATTGTAAAAGTAGACTAGTTTAGGATAAAATTCTCTAGGATAAAGAGAGTAATCTTTTAGTAATTCCTTAAAAACACACACTTAGGCGGTAAAAATTTGACCTGAACATCATGTACTTCCTGCTCTTACACACAGGTAGCTGGAAACACCACACTATGCTCCAGGGCTGATGACATGACAGTACATCATTGCCACGTCTCACATCCTTAAGCTGAACTATGTTGTTACTCTGGAATAAATAAGCACTGCTTTGGTTACTACTAAGTAATACAAATACAATTTTGAATTGCAACTGTACAGAATCTGCTTTTGGTACAGAAAAAATACCCAAATCAGGATACACAGAAACACCTTACTTATGGCTCCCCTCATGCATTTTATATTTTTATAAATATATATGTGTGTATATATACATCTTGTTAACTGCACATTGAAATTAAAATATCCTATGTAATTCCTTTCTGGGCTTCATGATGGAAACGTGTGACTGACAGAGCCACAGCACTCTGAAGATAGGAAAGAAAAATAGTACATTGTTTTTTAAGTCTAAATGAAGTCAGATTTCAAGAAGATCAATACAAATTATAGAGACAGGAAAGGAGGAAAGCCCATTGCTGTCAGTCCCCTTATCCAACAAACCATTCTATTGAACTACAGGTAATAAGTAGGAAACTTAAAGAGATTCCCTTTCTTACCTCTGCTTGTTTTGCTTTGGGACTGTCAACTGGAGACAGAGGAAGCACACTGTCACTAGGTGACTGGATAGGGATGGATGGCTTGCATGGATCTAGGGAAAGCAAAAATGTTTCCAAAAACATATGAAACCGATAATATTCTATTTTTTTAACATTACACACAGCAAGTAGTAACAAATTTCTCCGCTTCTTACGAATTCTTCATTGGACATCTGGAATCTAATAAAAATTTTTAATATGTCCAAAATGGAAGGACATTTTTAACATAAAAACTTCTACAAGAAAAAGCAGTTAGATGGGTTCTCATGCTTTAGGAAGCTGTAATTAATGGATTCAAAACATTCTTCTAAAAATTTTCATGCAAGCATATACCCTGCCACTGAGAGTAGTTCAAACCCAAAAGAGTGTCTTCTCTTAAATCTAATAAACCTATAGACTCTCTCAAATGCAATTACAATCATTCAAACACTGATGGAAAAGGACATTACCTTCTGTCACACTGCAAGAAGCACCTTCTTCTCTTTCTTCATCTTCCTCATCCTCAGAGACTTGTAGTTCTGGTTCTTCTACGCCAGCTTGATGTAAGCGATACTCTGCTTCTGCATCCGATGGGATGTCATCTGACCACAGAGCGGGCAGGGGAGAAAAACAACACACCTTGGATACAAGTCCATCAGGACATCTGCTTATTTTTAAAAAATCTTTCATAATCCTTTCTTTCTATTCACATAGTGATAATCACTTTGATAACCTGAAAAGCTAAATGTTTCACTGTTTTTGCTGCGTGCTAATTAGAGTAATTTAAGCATTAAAAGATAGACTATTAATAACTAAATTGGTAATTGAAGTCAAACCTTTGCATTTTCCTTGAAATTTTTCAATGTTGTCTGGCAAATGCAGTTCATTTTACACTGTCAAGGGAAAAATTCTGGCATAATATTGTAGGGTTTTCACAAAATTACTTCTATTTCTGTTATTCAGCAGGATTAGTACTGAATATGGACACAAGAGCAAGCCCTCTAGTTAGCAGATGGTGACAGGACATGAGAAATTTGTTCTACAACCCATGGCATGGAGGTTCTTCTCTTTCTTCTTGTCCCTTCACTCCTGCCTCCCTCTTGACTATTTGAAACAAGCTCCTACATCACTTAAGATCAGGCTTAAGTACCCTCATACGAGATATTTTCTGCCAATACAGTTCTATTTAGGTAACAGGTTTAAGTAAGGCTCAGTGGTACCCTACCGTCATCCAGCTCTGCTCCTGTGTCTCCCTCTTCACCTGCCTGCCCTTCAGTGTCTGCAGGCTCCGTGCCCACCTCGTCCTCCACATCATTATCCTCACACGGAGCTAGAATATAGCCAAATATTGAGAAAAAAAGAGAAAAAAAAAAAACTATACAGTGAAAAGGTTCTACATTGAACTGTACCAACGGTTTATAGTTGAGAGATTTATTAATTACTGCCAAAAAAAGAAATCCTGAAATGTGTCACCTGGAAAGACATCTATGGTGAAATGATATCAAGGAATGTCTGCTCTTAGGGAGCCTCCAAGGCATTTGCAGCCAGAGCTTTTCTGAGCAAGAGGCCTTGTGAAAATTGAACAAGAAGGGGACTGGGAGGACATCAAACCAGAATAAAGTTTACTGTTCTTCCCGGAAGATTATTTTTTTTCCTTTATCACATCAGAACAGATACCACCACTTTATAGCATATGTGTACTAGGTGAAAGCTGAAATATCACAATGTACCACAACTGTTCATCTTGAAACTGAAACAGGCTTTTAAGGGTGTATATCAGAGACATCTAGTTCTGGGATTGATCATTATTACATTTGGGAACTGTTTAACTCTGTGCAGATACAGTAGCCTTTGGTAAAAGAGTCTTGATATGCTTTTCAAGTAACTAGGACACAAATTAATTGAGATATTTTTAAGTAAATAAAAAGATATATTCAAAGCTTTCTTTTCTGATACAGATCATAATTTGATTTCCTGAGTCAAAATAAAGAAAAGATTCTCCAATTGATAACTCTGAGAAGGGCATTTAATATTACTACTTGTTACTGGATTTAATTAAAGGAGGAGAGACAAGACCAAATTGTGGGGTCTGAATTTCATTACTAAATGATACATTTTAAAAAAACCTAAACATTTTGACACCTTGTCCCATTCTGTAGCGCTATGGATGATTTGCCTAATTTTTAAGTATTGTCATAAAACATAATTGAAATATAAAAAAAGAATCAAACACTTCCAGATTTTTTTTCCTACAGTAGAGTCAGTCAACTACATTTTCTTAGATTTGTGCGGTGAGTTAGCACGAATTCATGTTCAACAACATGCAGACATTTAACTCTGTCATATATCCTATTGCAAACGTGTACACAGTCAGCGTGTTTTATTATGCACAACGTTTGCTAATTATACACATAGGAGATGGTCATGTAACAACGATAACAGATATATTTGTAACCTTCCTGGTTGCACCTGTACCAGTAAACTAAGCGGTGCAAGTCTCTGGACCTGAATGCATACAGTGTCACACTGTCATCTTTAGGAGGGCTCCTGGCATCATTCCCAAAGTTAATTCCCGTGGTGGGGCTGGATGCTGTTTGCAACAGGCAGCCCGGATGCTGAATGGCAAAAAAGTTTAGCCCTATGGGAGCAAATCACACTGTGCCAGCTTTCTTCAGAGTCAGGGAGTAGCCCCTGATCCCTTCCGTTTACTCGTGACCATGTGGCTTTTGGAACAGTTTCTATACTAACGTTGCCAATTAAGACAATCTCCTTGAAAACAAACCAACCCTCCCTAAAATTGAGGTCTTGCAGCCTCTCCTCTTTCTCTTACACAGCTTTTTGCTTCTTTCAAAACCCACCTCCAGAGGGTGGTTTGCCTTCCTCCTTCAACCTGACTATTTCTCTTTTTCCATACTTTTCCTCTCTGTAGTATTAAGACAGATAAACACTCGGGCGAGTTTATTTTCCGTCATCTACTGTGAAAAGGCAGTCACACTTATGTGTGATAAAGAACTGACCTATTCCCTTACATCAGAGGCTTATAAAATCCAGAACCTTACAGATGCTGAGCGTAGGAGACTGAGTCATCTAGCAAAGGCTGGACTGCCCACAGGGGCATTTACAAATCTGCTGAACAAAACCAAACTGTGTCCCAGTCCGACTGTAGCTTAGGTATGCAGTAGCTTATGTTATTTTGGAAATAATAATGTCACGGGATGATTTTATGATAGCAGTTAATGTGAGTAATCTTAATCAAAAGTTGCAAGAACAAAACTCTGATGTTAGTAAAATCTGATACCACGATGTACATGTGTGTCTTCAGATCCAGAAACCATGAGTGAACATGATGCGCGTAGGGAGCGATGGAGAGGGAGGAGAACATCAACTCTTAAGTAGGTTGGTAGACAAAACTCAACAGAAGATAACAGATGCATGGATAAGTAACAACTTGGTGCAAGGGTGGATCCCATTTTGAGGGACACGGAGAGTTTGCAGGTGGCTGGTTATCTTATACATATACTGTGCATATACGTATACGCAGTTAGGATAAGGAGCAAGAGGCCAAAAGCTGTCACACAATAACTCAGAAGCTACACACTATGGCAGCCAGAAACTGGGACCAGCACGTGGTTCTTCTCAGCTAGCAGCTGTGAGCAGACTGCACCACGTGCAGAACATCTTGTAGACACTGCTGCCTTGCCAAAGCAGCAGCAGAAGCAAAGTTTTATAGGCAAGCTAGATATTCTGATACGCCAAAGCAACTTAGCTGTAGATCAACCACCTAGCCGTGAACTGCTCCTGTCCCACTCATCTAGATACCTTCACTGCTTTACATAAATTTACATCCTTACTCTAATCCCAGAATCTTCACCCTCATCCCTTTTGTAATAGAGCTTAGAGGACCACATAAAAAAAAAAAAAAGCAGGTGAGCTCTGCTATCCTTCAACATTCCTGTGGCTTTCCTAAATAACATGAAACCCCAAGTCAAAGGAGACACAACAGCCATCACTATTCCTACAGTTCCAGGCTTCAACCTTATTCTTCTTTCTTGTCTTCTTCACCAGATAACTCGAGTTTGCAGTCGATACAGAGAACAGCAGTTGTTTTAAGCACTCTCCGTCACTTAATCTTTCGGCTGCAAGAAAGCCCCATGTTCTTTTAGTCAAGGAGCCAGGGCAAGAATAACTGGTCCAGTCTTCCGTTCACAAAGCAAAATCACAGCACTCAACTAGATTTCCTCCTTCTACTTGATTACACCCAAGACAACCTCTCTCTGTTTGGCCTGCCTTCGGAAGGGTTACGACAAATGTCAAGTTCATGCAGGGATGGGCTATCTGAGCAAGGCGTGCATGCACACTCCCCCTTCCTCCCTCCCTCCACCTCCAGTCATGCAGTAGCGACAGGGCTGGAAGTTCCAGGGTTAAAGTACCAGCTCAGCTGCTGAAGGCATGGAGAAGAGAGACGGGCAGGGTTATTGTGCATTGGAATACATAGAACGTCACCAAACTACCTCCAGGGACCGTCTCCAGCCACGCCTGTACCGCCTCATGGCGTACGGAGGGAAGGTCGGATGCTGAATTTAAAAAACAATAAAGTGTAAGAAATCAAAATTAGACCATCAGTAAGCGTCTAAAACAGAAAGAGTGACAAAGGGAAATTTTTCAGTAGCAAATACAGGAATAAAACCTATGAGGTGTTAAACAACTGATACCAGGCTTGGGATTTAAATCAAGATAACATATAAACATCAGGGGGCTAATCTTCCTTTAGGATCTGTAATGTTAGAGGCAATATGGACAGCACAGGGAGAAAAACACCACATCTGAGCAGCGGATTGTTGCGGCTGTGGCTCTGCTTGAAACTCTGCAGAGGGAAACTCATAGATGGAAAGAGATGGGGTGGTCACAACAGGCACCTCAGAACCTGCGCTCCCCGGGCGCAAACACCAGCAGATGAAGAAGAGTGCCCAAAGCAGGATGAGAGTGGCTCCTCTGGGCTGTCACACTATTCCAGGCTTTCAGGTCAAACTGTAACGCTGGAGATGCTCTGATGGGCTCTATAAACACCTTGTATCACAGAATACAAGGAGGGTGAGGGTGGTGGAGCACTGGAACAGGTTGCCCAGGGAGGTGGTTGAGGCCCCTTCCCTGGAGATATTCAAGGAGAGGCTCGATGAGGCCCTGGGCAACCTGGTCTAGTTGGGGGTGTCCCTGCTGACTGTGGGGAGGTCGGACTAGATGACCTTTGGAGGTCCCTTCCAGCCTGGGCAATTCTGTGATTCTGTGAATACAGCTCAGCCAGAACGAATTTGACTACTGAACTCAAATTTTAAACTTCTGGTGTATCCACAAGTACTTATTGGGGACAGACCTTTTAAAAAAAACACACAACCCAGACCTGCTGATACCTGCACATACCTGTATTGTATGACAAAGTAATTGAAGCAGCTAGTCTATTGATCAGGATTGTCCTAGTTTGGCCCAGATTTAGGGAAAGGGAAGGAAATATTGCCTTGCTTCCCAAAGGAAGCTGGAAAGATCACAAAATCAATTTGGAAGGATTCACACAGGTTTTCCTCTCTTTTGCCGACAGCTATACCAACACACTACGGAAAAGTAGGAATTATAAAACACAAATTAAAAGAAAGACTCTGAACCTGTAGTGCCACAGACTTTCAAGCAGAAGCTAAAGTAACCTTAAGTGTAGTAAGCTTAAGAAACTCTGTTAACATTTTTTACTTAGAGCTCTTAAACATTAAGCAACTACTCTAGCAATACTGAATGTTACAGGCAGTTGAACACAGCCTGTTTCTGTGCTTGAAGTGGGAAGGAAATATCTGTTTCTCACTTGTAGGGAGCAGATTTCATACCAGAGAATCCAGGTGCATCCTACAAACCGTAATTATAAGCAGAGCCAAACTGATCTGGAACTGTGCATCAAGTTGGACCAGGGTTTAAAAAAACCCCAAACATCCACAACTATGAGGAAAATAGATAATTATCTAGAATGGAATACGATCAGGCAACATGAGGTAAAGCCTTAGGCTTTTTAAATACAAATCAGTCATTAACTGAATCTCATATTCCCTGTAAAAGACACCCCTTCCCACAGCATAATTACTCTCCCTACAATTCTGGCTACAGACTTTTGGGAGAAGACCACCACACATCAGCTGCACGGTTAGCTTTTATTAAGCACAGGCTTCTGTATAGATAAAGCACCTGTAACATACTTACCTTAAGACACTCTACAATATAGTTTAGAATAAGGTCAACAAGGACTGCTGGAAGATGTGTACAAGAGAGCTAGACTGTTGGTATTTTCCCCTCTAAAGTTTTCCTGTAAGCAACTGGCAGCTCAAAAAGATTACACCTCACTTAAAAAAAAAAAGACATACTGTCAAATCTTAAATACAGGGAGTCAAAACCATTACTGGTCAGACTTGCAAGCCCTCTGAACTCCATTATTCCCTGCTGCAGATGCAATTACACGCTTTGAAAAGCTGCAGCAGAGAAATGTACTCAACACAGAAGCCAACCCTGTTCTATCTTTGCTGCAGTAGCTACACAACACAGCCCTTCAGCTTTCCCTAAAGAGGCGTAGAGGCCTCCCTGCAATAAAAAGCCCGTTACAGCTTCCATTACTATCCCTAAACTCAGTTACCAAGGGCCATTCCAGCACTATGGAATCGTGTGTGTAACGAGGATGTGTGTAACACCATGGAACCAAAGCAGACAGACAAACGGGAGAGAAGATGTCACACCACCATGGAGCTGAGAAAGCAGTTGTTTTAAGTAGATACTGACCTGAAAAGCAAAATGTTTAACCGAGTGTAATTTCAGTGTAATTTGAAAATAGTTCTGTTCAATCACTGCCATCCCTGCTGAAATACACTGTTCTTGAAGGTGCAGAAGCAACAGAGTTAAACAGCCACAACCATGACCTTGGAATTGACACTGTGGGACTGGGGGGAGATTACCTCTGGAGGTGGAGGACTTTAAGGTTGGGACCATTTTTTCCTCCTCCTCTTTTTCACGGATGTGTGTCCAGTGCACATCTGCCAGGATCTCCAGAGGATCGACAGGATTTACAATCTGCTGCAGTCTAAGGTTTCCAGCTAGCAGGAGAAGGGCATGGCACACCAGGTTGTAGGCAGGGTGGTATGAAGGACAGGGAGGAAAAGATGGGAGAACAGTGGAAAGGAAAGGTAACACATCGTAGGAAAGGAAATGGGAAAAGAAGAAAAGAACATGTTACTGGCTAAGATCAGTTTGCGAGACAGATAGAAAAAGCTCAGCATTGTGTGCACGCATACACCGATACAGCGTTCCTCATCCCATCAAAGCTGAATAATGCCATTCCAAAGGCAAAAAGATGCTATTAACACTTCATTGTAGATTACCTCTATTGCAAGCACCTTCGCTGAAATGAAAGACATTCTCTGGGTGTCCAACAGTACGCGGTATGTAAATACCAATTTAGCAGAAATTTCCAGCTCCTTCAGCCTATTCGTTATGATTACTGCCAAAGACATCTTGCTGTTAAAGGCAAGGGACAATCTGCATTGTAGTTTGATGCACCAAAACAAAAGGTCTTTCATTCCCTACTGCTGGGTTAAGTACTCCTTTCTATGCTGGGTGCATATTTCTTTGTGAATAAAATTCCATGATGGATCTCAGAGTTTCACGTGTCTGTGTATATGTGTGGATGCACACATGGGCACACACTTACTTTAGCACTTAAAACACTACTTTGCTTAGTCCTGCTCTTTGGTATTAACTTGTTTGAAGGGTAGAATTTTTTTTCTGAAGACTAACAGTATTTTCATTATGACTTAACAGCTCCCCACCTCTCCAGAAGGGATTTCCTGTTGCACAAATGGATTTGTTTAAAAGAAATTGCATTACTCCTCAATTACCTGCCTACACAAAGCTCAGCTACTTATGGAGCATCAAAGGGAACAATGGGCACCTAAAGCAATGGGTAAGCAACTTGCTTAACTGCTGCAGAATATACACCTTGGGAGCACCTACTCTGAAATATTACATTCATAGACCCTGTCTCTATCACTATCTGTTACAGGACTACAGCTCAGGTTCTATTTGCCCATAATAAAATAACTCATTCTACAGGGGACAGGTGTTCAGGAATGATCTTCACAAGCAAATGACTCATCCTGAAAAGTAAAATACCCACTTACTTTGTAGGAAGTCAATTTTCACCACAGCTGGATTACCACTGAGTAGGGCAAAACACTGTTTCAGCAGTTTAGAACCTCAAAAGCAATTAAATTTTCATGTGGTGGACTAGTGTTTAAAGGAAATAAGAAATGTTAGCAACATATAGAGGTTGCACTCATTATTTCCCGCTGCCTCATTTTAATGAGGTTCCTCTCTCCCGGCCATGTTTTCCCCAGACATGACAAAGTGTTTGGGATGTTGTTTCAGGATTGACTGTGTGCGACATTTGGCATTAAAACTGCAGAAGAAACAGGCAGAAGGAACTGCAGGAAGGACAAAATCACCAGATGGTTATTAAAGGGGAAAGGGTTCAGACGCACAAACTCAAATGCAGAGCAGGATTCACAATTTAGCCAAGTATTTAGCAGTTTTATGTCTCTGTCACCTCATCAGAGAGTTTTCATATCAATTAGCGCAGCCGCATGGTCTGCCAGAGCTACTGGACATCCTGCAGGACAGGAACCTGGGCTCTCCTCACTCTGTACCAAAGCACTCGCATGCAGGCCCCAGGATGAGTAGGGTTAGCATTTGCATCGCCACACAAAATTTGGTGTTAAAAGGTTTAGGTTTGCCAGCAATGGCTGAGAAGTATCTAGTCACTCAGCAAGGCTCGGAAAGAGCAGGTCCCACATGATCTGCGTGTTTTAAAATGGATTTCTCTGGGATTTAGACCAGTGTAATATACACACCTCCAGTTACTCCACAAGTCTCTAAACAGAGGCCTGAGCCTGTCCTGATCAGGGCATGGGTCTCTCTCATCTTTTCCAGTAAATACATAGCAGCCATGAAGGACTCCTGCTTGGGTAGTGGGCACACACAACACCTCCTTGAGCTCTAAATACTTGAAAACTTCAATCAAAACCTGGTGTAGCCTTCCCTCAAGGCTGCCTGCTAAGCTTGCAGGAAGCTGGACATTAATCACACTTACATTTGGAAAGGTAGCTTTCCCCTTCTGTTTGACCACAGCACCTACCAGCACTTTATAAGAAGCAGGCAGTCTCAATGATTAACTTAAGCCACTCACAAATCAGCTCTTTAGGAGTCTGATCTAAAGCACACTAGCAACTGCAACAGGGGGAATTTCTTCAGTTATGCTCTTCAGCCACCTTACTAATACTTCTCATTCTTACCATCAGAAAAGTTAAATTGCGAAAAATTGTAACTCTTCCTTTTTTTTTTTTCCCTTAAGAAAAAAAAAAGTCAGAAGCTAAGCTATAGTAAGCTTGCAACCATAAGCTGCAGAATATGCAGTTGGACAACTGCATATGCCCTCTTACCTGCAGGAAGGCACTCGGATTTTCCTCTTATGGATTCTGGCTCTAATGAACCACATTGAGGGAATAAGGGATTAACAAGCTATTAGGACCATCAGAAATAAATCACAAGAGAATGCATCATGGAAAATAACATAACCAGTTAGACCGGAATGTCAGATTAATTTTATGCCCATCATATGGCTGTGAAAAATCTTGAGGGATTGCTGCAGCTTGATTAGCTTCCCCCACAGACTCTCCCCACAGACATGCACTCAACAAAGGACAACAACAACAAATGCAAGTTTGCTGACACAGGCAATCTAAAGGCAGTACTTCTGATGTGTCCCATGTGTCCGACACGTTACACAGGTACAATTAGACTGTGTATGGAACAAATCACACACGTTACAATAGCAAATTGTTCAGGTATTCTAGATATCCTGAGGTACTTGGCAGCTTTATCTTTTTCCTTAAACCACTGGCAATGTAAGACCTGATATATGGCACTTGGACCAGGAGAAGAAGAGAACAGCTACCAAATCAGTTTTTAGAGAGTTGGTAAAGCAATTAAATAAAACACAGACACTTCTCATGTGGGACCTGCTCTTTAAAACATTCCCCCCTCCTTTGGGGAAGTGGAAGGGGAGACGGTAAACGGGTACCTTTAAATGTACCCGTGTCCTCTTCATTTGAGAGACGTTGAAGCCAAAGACCTTGCTGCAGCTCGCTCTCCCAAGGGCAATACTCCCCCTCTACAGCAGAGGGAACCACACATCCACATATAACACCAGACACGCGTGTACACACACAAGCGATGGGGAGAGAGAGAGAGAGAAAGAGAGAAAGAGAAAGGACAGAATCAGAAAGAGAGACTGTCTGGAAATCCAGCAACTCCCCGTACTCCCGCTGTATTCAGTGTCCAGCAGGAAAACTGCTTGAATGAAACAACGTCTGTCCGAGAACACCATGGTTTAGCAGACTAAACACACAACATGCATGTTACCATATTTTAAAAGCAGTCTTGACTTCCACAGACTTCAGTTACGGAGATACAGCTCCTACATTGAAAAAGTAGCCAAGCTTCCTGATGAGCTCATCAACAAAACTGCCAATAAGACTCAAAACACTGGACTTCTGCTTGCATTAGGCAGCCAAAGACCTTTACAAAGAAGCTCTTTGGAGTCTACCAGTCTTCACAAAAAGGAAATGTGAGTACAAAGACAAAGACATCAGCGAGAAATTTGGCATGGTGGTGAAACACTGGAAATACATCTACTCTTAGCACAAACTTTGCATTTCGATGACTGAGACAAGCACAGGGGAAGGAGTCTTTCCCTAAGATTTTCCAAAGAAATCCCTCAGAGCTAAAATGGGAACCATCTGAACTCCCTGATTTCTCAAAACCGTCTTTTCACTAAGGAGTACTACAAGCAGCTTCTCCTGGGATGCCCCGATGACAGTCATAGGGCACTACCCCTGAGCGAGCCACTCTGCAAAACTGAAAACACTGCCTTCACAATGCTTCCAGCTCTTGCTGTCAAAGAACAAAGGGCACATTCAAATCCAATTCCCCAAAATAATAAAAAACAACAATAAAACAATACAGTGTCACAAAGCTGTGAATTGCACATGTTGGCATGGTGTATGGGAAGCATATTGTGTTGGTACTAGTGCTGTAACTGCCCTGCGGGCAGAGATCTTCTGTATCCAAAAGGATCCACCTAAAGCTTTCCTTGACTCCCTCAAAAATCAAAGCAATAAAGAAGTGAAAGAAGAAGTAGTTTTCCAAGGCAAATCTTTCTCATTTTGCATAGCAAATACTCAACTCAGTTCTCCCTTCTGTCTAGCAGAAAGGAAGGACAAATCAATCTAACCTTCGCTCGACTCCTCGTCTTCCTCCTCTTCGTCTTCCTCTTCCTCCTCCTCCTCATCTTCTTTGTCCTCAATCTCATGATTTTCCTCAGCCTCAATCTCTTCTTCACTCTTTCCCTTCAGGAGGGCATGGATACGCACAGCCTCTTTCCATGGCACACCACCCAAATCTGAAGGGGGTTGCTGAGGCAGCAGTAGTTCATCATCTTCCTCCTCATCTTCCTCCTCCATCTCAGACTCTGAACTACTGTAAGGGTTCAGAAAAAAAGACAAAGAAACAAGTAGTTAATGTCTCCTACATCAGGCTTAGAACACTGACGTGTTGTTTGAATACATACAAGCCCAAAACACACAAGGGGAAACATAATACTAGTTTTCTGCTGTCAATATTTCATAGGCATTTTAGTGACAGTGTCATTTGTGGGCTGCAGTATGGTCCTTGCCCGGCTTCTTTTAAAGAAGGTGAAGCAGCAGCAAAGTGCCTGTGAAGCCAAGTCCAAATATTTGCGCAGCATTAATTGTTACAGTTCGTGACAGTTGAACAGAGCAGAAAGAAACTACTTTATCCATCCACAGCAATGTGATATGAAGAAACCTGTGCAAGAGCTCTTAGCGGTGTCAGAATGTAGAAGGTCACGTCTTTCGATAATGGCAGCTACTACTGGTATTTGGGATAGCCAAGATGTTTTTGGCACTTGGTGACAGGAACCACAGAAGGCTTTGGGAGTAGAACAAACACACAACATAAACATAACTATCAGGCCAAAGGATAGAGCATGTGAGCTAAGGAAAGCTGGAGGAAAAAAAAATACTAAATTCCTCGCTTTTCCATATTCCAGCTAGAACTATAAGGCGTATCCAATTAAGTACACAGTGCACACAGTGGCAAGAAACTGTAGGAAGCAGTGCAAGGATAATTACAATAATGAGCTTATTATTCTCACAGCAAAGTCTAAAACATGCAAAACAGTAAGTCATTAGTGCTTTTTAGTAGACATCTCTGTTTAATTCTAACAGTTCCTCAGTATAAGCAGCAGGGGCAAGAAAAGTACCCGTCTGTACAATGACATTTAGTCTAGCTCACTCGTACATGCTGCACTACCTAGAGGTACTGGGGAGAAAGATGGTCTTCTTTGTCTCCAGAAAATGCACGTGAACTACAGCACATTCAGAGAACATATCTGCAGGGTGAAAGGGTCCTCTTCCTTTTTTTTTTTCCCTTAGAAAATCATTATCATAAAAGAATTTTATGTATTAGAGCAAAAGTTGGATGCTTCCCATATAAATCTTAAAGGCCCAAATTCATCTGGATCGAAGGAGAAAACTGTGAATGGTTAAAGTCTGGGTGAATTATCTGGGAATGGAATTGTAATTCTGCTGGTTCCTTATGACAGCTATCGCTGTAGTTAACAGCCTTTGGCAGAACCCATTCCATGGAGACAACAAAAGGGAAAAATCCACAAGCTGAAAATAATGCAGTTTACATTTCATGCAGGTCTATAAAATATAACTTGTACAGTTAATTACTTGCTGTAATTATGTTTCCCAGTCACAGGTGTTATTGCAGTATGTGACAAACTGACAGTTTAAAAAAAAAATGATATATGGCAGCACTCTTTCTCTTATATTGCAGATAAACATATTCAGGTGCAGAACTTCAAATTAGCCTAACACTTCACAAATATATCGTATTTACATAATTTTATTCATCTACTCATCTGAGAGACCATTTTTGATAGCAATGTTAACAAGAAAAACAACACTTTTTTCATGCTCTGATTGTTAAGTACTTCTGTCCATAGGCTCTTAAATTCTCCTCACTGTTCTGCATATATATAACATTATTTTGCTCAAATTACAACCCACTTTTTCACAGCGTACTTATTTTTAACAGGCTGCCTGGTTTTCACATGCTAAATACTGAATACAAACACTGCTGCGTGCCATGCACTTGGTGCATATTCCAAGAGACCAAAGCAGACTCCAAAGGCTTTACGTAGATATTGTCACAGAGACAAAAGAGTGATGTCCCACTCCTCCCTGATTAACTTTCCCACCCTTTGGTGTGGAAATAAACCTGACAGGTGGTGCATATGCTGGGGTTTTTATGTGCTGTCAATAAGGTTTACTGCTGCCCAGGCTGTTGCCACGATTGCTGAATGGGACGAGCTGCTGCTCTCCAACCAGCCGGCTTATCGCATGCAATATTGACGACATAAATTCTTTACCACATAGCTCACTTTACCTTCTTCAGCTTTTATTTATAACTTGGGGTTTTGTTTGACCTTTGAACACTGAGAAACGAGAAGGTGAAAGGCGGCAGCGAGATGGCCTGGTGTAGTGGGCATTCCTTTCAGCACGGCAACTCTGAGCCACAGGAATTAATTCAACAGCTGAAACTTTCCTTTTTTTCCCCATAAAGCAGAAATCAAAGGCCAAATAGGTTGCTTTATAGAATTTGTATAAGTAGTTGAATATCTAATGAGAAAGGTGTACCTAGACCGATATAGAGCTGAGGAGAGGAACCAAAACCTAAACTATGGCAATGAAGCTCTTCTCTTCCCTTGCCATACAAACCCATACAGCACAACCTGTCCTACAACTCTCCTTCGAAAGGCCACGGGGTATTATACCAAAACTGGGAGTTACTGCAAGTTAAAGGGGATGAATAAGGCATCTGAAGGGCCTTCCACCCCACAAAGGCAGTGTAGTCAGGGTTTGGATGCTTAAATGATGTTTTGAAGTTTAAACAAGTTTAACTCTCTTTTGAAAAAATATACTTTGAATACTGTTTTCTGTACATTTTCTCTGCCCTGTGCATGCTCCTAAGCCCATGCGTGACGGGACGCTGTGCACCAAAATGCGTGGTCTCTGCTTGATTTAGAGTTAACATCTCACTGAACCTTGAAGCCCAATCCATCGCGCTGGAAGACACGGAAGGAACAAAGAGTTCCCCATCTCCTCCGCCTGCTCCTAACCCTGCGGCGCAGCACCAAGACAGTGAAGATGATCAAATCAGGGCTTTGGTTGGCTTGTTGTAGGAGTCAAACTTTTTTCCTTTTGTTGCTGAAAAAGTGGTCAGACTCTTTCCCTGGGTTTTTTTAGGCTGTGACATCAGATACCTGATAGCTACATCACCTAGAGAATTCTCTCTCTGATGTTTGGCCCTCACAGCCTTATCAATGCTCTAAGCAAATTGTTTGCTGTATTTGGATTTAGTACAGACATTTTTCCAGGTCAAACTGTCAAGGAACTTGATGTATTTTCTCCTTCCTCTCCATCATAGAGTGCGAGATGCCCACTAAACACTACTTTTCACATGCAAAATTATACAATTCCATCTATTACAGACAGAAATAGTCAGTTTAATATAAGCTAATGGAAGCATGTAGGACAAAGGGAGCTAAATGTAGCACCCTATGAGAGGAAATCAAACTTGCTAACCTAACAGAGTACTGCCCTCGGGCTCCACTTGGAGATGACCAAGAGCTTCATGCCAAAACTCTGCTCTTTTTAACTAATTCTTCTCCTCCTTTGGAAATCTTCTTCCCTTTACTGAGAGACCCTACTTACTGTGTTCCGATTTACTGAAATCCAGACCAATAATAATAATACTCCATGCCAGTAAAGTTTAAGAGCTAGAAACCTAAAGGACTAAAAACCCTCGATATCATTAATGCCTTTACTGTCACAGTTGATATAATTTCTAGGCCTGAGCAGGGAGCTAATGGAAGAATGAGTGAAGCAAACAGAGTTTGCATCTCCCACGAGTAGTCCTGAGATGATTAGAATTATTAGAAACCCCATTAAGAGATAGAAACTCTGCAAAAAGTGTGTGATTAACTATAAAGTTCACAAGCATTTTTCATGAAGTATTTTCTCTCAATGATTCTTGCAACAACTATTTCTAGTAGCTCTACCTGCATATATTTGGATCCTGGTGTGCTTATACATCGTTTTGTGAAGGTACAATGTTTTTCAACAGCCATAACTATTGCTTCAAATTAATCTCTCAGGCATTGCATCAGCATTCAGTCAGGATTACATGTGTGTAAAGCTTGACTCTTTAAACCAAAAGTGGTTTTGAATTGTAATGCAAAACATACAGAAGAGAAGTTAACTTTGGAACCACCTCCTCCCATTTCGATCCATGTTTTGTTTGATCAAAAGACTCATTTGTCTTTGATGCAATTTCTGTCTTAGGACTGAATTTCATGGTACTATAGGTGTCTTCTAAGAATGGCGGTAAGCTATTTAGAAGAACAGAAGCTACAAGATTAAATACCTGTGTATTTTATGTATGTATTGAATGTATGCAGAATGTTTTCAACAACTTTAGAAAGGGCAACCTGGTAAATAATACGTTTAAAAGAAACTAAGAGAAAAGCAGGCAAAATTTGTTGGGATGGTTGTAAAAAAAAGCTTATGGACAACGCGAGCTAACCTGCTGGGCACATCCTCTTCTGTCCCTTTGTCCAACACGCTGCTCAGGTTATGCTCTGCCAGTGTCTCTTCAGGAACCTCTTCCAGTTCTTCTTCCCGCTGCAGCGACAGTCGGTAGTTCTCCAGCTCAATCCGCTCAGGTGTGCCACGCAGCCGCTTGGCAAGGCTGGGCTCTTCCAGCCCATTTACATTAGAACCTAAAGATACAAGCCAGTGAATAAACAATAAATGCAACAGTCAGAACTGTATTTTTTTTTTTAAGGAAATTGAGCAATTGGGAGAAAAAAAAAGGGCACGAGGCAGAGGGAGGTAAATAAAGCGAGAGAATACCTTATGTCATTATCCTGTTCACCACTACTGGCAGAACCTGCTGGGAAGCCAGACTGCAAAAGGGAATCTTAGTGGTTTTGGCTAATAGATGCTAAAAAGAATGTTAAATGTCCTAGTTGAGAGAGGAAATAGGGACATTTTAGCTGCAAAAACAAGAGCTGCAATGAAGCCTATTTGATAACTATTAGGGAAGGCCTGACCCCAGACTGCATATATTCTATGCAGAAAACACAGGAGTGCTTTGGGGCAATCCTGCTGCACAGTGTTAATATTTTTACCAGTCAAGGTAGGTTTACAGAGTCAGGGAGCAAAACAATATTACTACTTAAAGATGGGGAAGGAATGGAATGAAAAAGGCCTACCTGGAGCAAGTTTTAAAACTTTTTATAGACTTAAGTTAATTTGTATTTTAATTAGAGTTTGTGATGAAATGAACTGCAGGGAAAAGTCTAGGTAAGGTGTTTGCAAGCACAAATGTTGTGAATCCCAGAAAACTGCAAGGATGCATGAACCAGGCAGTTGGAGAAAATTATGCAGGAGCTTCATTGACTGTGGCGCTCAGTGAATTCAATTCTAACCTGCATTCATCCATTTCTTCTTGAAATTCTAGTATTTTACCTTAAATGCCATGCCATTGTTGACCCTTACCCACCTTCCTATTTACAGAGCCCAACCTTTCCTAGCTTTTGTTTTGCTTTGCTAACCAAGCCAAGCCTCCCTCTCATGAGATAAGCCCTTCAGTGTGCTGATCATGCCCTAGGTCTCTGCACCTGTCCCAGTTTGGATTAATCTTTCCAGAACCTGCGTGATTAGAATTGAACACAGCTTTCCAGATGAGGCCTTACCAGCGTAACACACAACCCTGCCAGAAATCTCTCAGCTGATACACGCTGGGAACACACTTGCCTATTTATACGCCACTTAATACTGGGGGCTTTTATTTACTGACTGATATTCACATCTTTCTTCTTCTTCGCTTTCAACCGATAAGCACCTTGTTGGGAGCCAAAATTCTCAACGCTTTCTCAGTGCATGACCTGCTACTTTCTACTATTACATTTCTATTTTTAATATAACAGTCTGCGACATTTTGCGGTTCTTAGTGTACGACATGCCTTTCCTCCTCTGCATTGATGAGAGTTTGAAATGTTGCCTCAGCAATGAATTTCATTAGCAGATTTTTTCCTTTTTTTTTTTTGCCAGTAACCTTAGTGAAGGTACTACAAAAATCAGTCCCCAGATAATTTTTTTGTGAAACTCCACAGTTTGTAAGTGACATCCAACCCCATTATTTCCTTTTTCAATAAAACCTCTAATCTCTGATTTAAGCCAGCTTCTTAGCTACTTGACACTGCTCCCTCATTTTATCCTGTTTAAATAATTATTTCCATGTGGCAGCCTTCAGGTGCTTTACTGAAGTCCAGACTGTTCAAATGCAATACGTTTCCCCCAAGGAGGTAATCAGTTATTTCATCGATAAAAGCTGTCAAGCTAGTCCTGCACAGTGTTTGGTGAATCCATGTCACATTTTATACCACTTACCTTCATAAGGCCAAAGGACTTCACTTGCAGAACTAGCAGTCTTTGGTTATTCCTTCAAGAAAGGTGTTTTATCTACTGTTTAGATTAACTGAGATGTACTTGTTCAGATGATTTTCCTTTTCTTTTTTTTTCTTTTCTTTTAAATTGTTTATCTGTAGGTCATACTTTTGTCACCCAGTGGTCACATTACCCTGAATTAGTTATTCAAGGTACATCAGGATAGCTTGATTTAATCACAAAATGTTACCACAAAGCTCACGATTCCATTGTACAATTCTTTCACTCTTCTGAGACAAAGACTATTTAGTTGAATTTTATTTCTACTCAGTACAGTAATATTTTAATTTTGCTTCAAGCTTCACTGGGTTAATTTCCATTTCCAAGTCTTGCTACACACTGACTTCTTTTGCTTCCATGTCCAATGCCATTGTCCCAACTGAAACTGGAGGCCAAGTATTCAATTGATTGCCTGACTGTACCTAAAATTGCTTTTTATGTCAGCCCCATCTTCACTGTGGACCCACTTTGCTTTCCCTTACCTTGCTTTTACTTACATGCTTAAGGAATACAGCTGTTTGTTTTCCTTTCCTTTGCAAGGTCTAACCCAGTATGAGCTTTGGCAACGTTTACTTTATCCTCACATGGTTTGACCTCCAAACAGTTTGTGTTTTCTTTCTCCATCCTTTGGAGTTGCTCAGTTTATTCCTAACAGCCTTTTTTTCAGGGCAATTACTCACTCAGTACCATCTAAAGTCTTTCACACAAAATTACACAGACCTTGCCATAATTAGTGGCATTCATTTCCAACCCCTCTCCAGAAAGATAAGATCTCAGAAAGACAACTGCCAGGAGTGCTTTTTTCTCTCTTCCTTAGTGTTACTGAACCCTTCTATGATGTGGCCAAGTGGCAGCTGCACCGTTGGCTGGAGCTACAAGGCTTTTTTTATTGTATAAACCACAGAAGCTTGCTCAGGTGGCTGGTGGGAACATTACCTTGCATTTCCAGGGATGCCGTGGTCTCTACCATTTCCTGCTGCTAAGCCTTATGTTGTGTTAGTATTTTCAAAGTTTAGTGGAACTGGACTGTCTTTTCAGCTGGGATTCACATTTCATTTCATCCTCTCTCTCTCTAGATGGTGATACCACCTCAGCCAAATCTATTTTTGTAATCCGTGTTACATTCCCCAACCCTGAGTTGACAGTAACAGGGGAACTGACCTGGAATATTGCTCTGCCACTTCTGCCCGATAGCGAAAAAACAAAGGGCTCCGGGTAACGCAAGAACACCAAGGTGATAGAAAACAAAGAAGGGATATACTAAAATAATCATAAAACAAGAGTTTTTCTACTTGGAACTCTTTATATACAACACAGCCATCAGCTAGGCTCAGCTACTTCAACAGCAGTATCTTTTCACAAGTTGTTTTTAACTTGTTTTCTTCTGCTGCGTACCCCAGCGTAGCTGCAAAGGGTGAAAAGGGCGACAGGCAGCAAAGGGTGACAAAAAAGAACAAGAACTTTTTATCCATCTGACATTATTTCACTTCTCTCGCTTTCTAACAATCTTGAGGGGCTTTTTTTGTCAGCCGTTTCGAAGTAAAATGAAAAAAAAAATACAAAACCTTTCCCATATAATTAATTGAAATTAATGGGGTGTTAAAAAATAAATGCATGTTTCAATGCTGTGGTATATGCAGTGGGGAGAAAGGCTGGCAGCATTCACTCTAAGGTAAAAGAGGACTGAAAATCAAGCTGATATCTGTTCATATGTATTTTGTGAACATATATGATCTTTCAGGTTATTCAGAATACAAATCATCATTGCCCTTCTCACCACAAAGGCCCAGTATAACCAGTACATAGAGAATCAAAGCAATTCTATCACAGCACAAACTCTAAGTGGGAATGACCCACAGCAACTGTGTTAAAAAAACTAAGAAGATGGAAAATCTGCCTAAACTTCAATGCAAAAGGATGTGGTCAAGCTAAGATGTCCAGGGAGCTTGACAAGCACTCTGTGCCTCGAAAATCTCAAAAGAAATAGGAAGGACATTTCCAGCACTTTTGCTGATTAATTTATATATCTATATACTTAAGATGTGGGATTTGTCACAGCCCTCCATGTCACTTCACAAAGAAAACAGCTCTATGGAGAACACGATACAGAAACTCAACTGATTACCACCTTCAGCGAGGGCTTTCTAGGAGTTTGCTCTATATGGACCATTGGGTCTACTGGTTTCATTTATAAAAGGTTCCATGAAGACTTATCTGGCTAGCTCCAAAGCCACTGTAAAACTTATTATCAAATGTGAAACAGGAGAAAGGCTACCAATAGCCAACTTTCTGTACCACAAAGCCATCAGCTACCAGAAGGAAAAGGAGTTGCACAAACCTACTTAAGAGATGAAAGTAAGCGTGAGATACAGGTATCATTAACATGACAAAGTGATGAACAATTTACTCACGGTATGTTACAAAGTTCACACCAATTCATTTGAAGCTACAGTAAGAAACTATAAATAGGAATAAGGAAATTTGAAGCTTTCCCAGCCTCATTTCCTCCATCATATATATATGGTGCTATATGCATAGGCGAGGTCTATTCCAGTGCAGTTCTTGTAGATGCTAAAGATTATTTCCTAAGGTTCCTCTGGAAGGGAAAGATACTTCTCTCAAATTGTATTCCCCAGACTGTTTTGTAGCTGGGGGTGGGAGATAGCTGCAGAATGCACTCATCATCCATTAGCTGACATTTCACCTTGTCAGTGCGTCCAGGCCCACAGAGCCAAAAGTCTGCAACCACTCACAACTGAGAGAAAAGGGGCTGATGAGGCTGCACGTGATAGAAAAAAAAAAACCAACCCCAATCTTATTAACCAGAGAGAGGAGCTACCTGAAAGCCAAGAGCAGCTTCTCTTGTAATCAACTGATCAGTTAAAAATCCACCGACAACATCCAAAATAGGAGACGTTTTCAAATCTGATCCTTTAGTTTGGAAGTCAGTGGGCCACGGAAATAACATTTATCATCTAAAGGGAACTGTTTTTCCGAACAGGCCGCTGAGCTGTTGCATGAAAGCTGCCAGAGTCCTTTATTTATCTCAGCCTTGACACAGCCTGCCTCCTGTAAAGAAACTCGTTTGATTGAAGATAACATTCCTACCACGAACCACTCCTTGCCTGCGTGAATGTGTCCTTTTCCAGCAACCTTGGCAAGTACTGGAAGGCTTGAAAAGCTCCTCGAGAGAGGATCCCACTCAATTTTCCCTCAGTACTACCTTGTTCAGTAAAATCTACAGATTATTCTCATGAGCTAGATGAAA